AGGATTGAATTGCGGTCCTTCTACGTTGATCGTGGCCACAAACACCTTAATCCCGAGTTTTGTGAATCGCGTGATGTCCCGCTCGAACTGCTTCACGATCTTCACGACATCTTTCGGCCGCTGATACGTGCATTTGTCCACGTAGCCAGCAGCGCAGCACTGAAGGCTGGTGGAGTCATGCGGGTCCGAGTCAGAGCCTCCGGGACGGAGAAACTGGGGCCAATTCATGCTGTGTACAAACACCTTTGGCTGAATCGTCTCGACTACCTTCATCACGCTATCGTAGTTCTTTTCGCAGGTCAAGGCAGGCGTGCCATCGAGCGACTTGTATACAATGGTAGGAAAGTTGGATCGATTCCGGACCCCGAGGCGGTCTTCAAAGATGCGCAAGAACCGGGGCTTGATTTGGTTCGCGTGCGAGTCGCCGTAGACGAAGACGAGGTTGGGCTGGCCGGGATTGAGCACCTTGGTCACGTGCGATACACCGAAAGGCGAGTCCGGTGACACGAACTCATATCCAACATCCACGGTGAAGTCCGACGGCGCGGCGACAATTTTGTCGTACGTAGGACTGGCGATGCGAGGACCCCTGTTCGAGTTGGGAGCTTCGATGACTGTACTCCCAGGGTTTTCTTCCGGGACGGCGATGGCGGCATGCACGACTTGGTCAAGCGCGGTCAAGTATGTGGCAGCGAACTTGGGCGTGAACACGTTCGAGTTCCTTCGGATGGGGATGCCGTTCGTGTCTACGACATGGCACGAATCGTTCCAGCACAAGTTGTCGGACAAGTCGATGATGGTGGCGTTGGCACCGGTGATCGCACCTTCGATGAGGTGGATGAGCCAGCGGTGCTTCTCTCGGAATGCTGTGCGATTGACAGCGAGAACGGGGGACGGTTTCAGGAGGGTCTGGGGGTCGTATTCGGTCCCCTCGGGCGCTAGAGTTGTGACAAAGACTTTGATGCCAAGGTTGACGAACTCGGTCAAGTCGCTCTGGAATCGATTCAGGATCGCTTCGACGTCGCGGGGATTTTGATTGTAGCACGCATCATCGTATCCACGAGCACAGCATGGGGGACGTTTGTGTGGAGGCGCCCAGGACGGGCCTCCCGGGTGCAGGTGGGCGAGCCAGTTGATCGCGACCAGGAGAACGTTCGGACGGACCTTTCGGATCATGATGTGCTGTAAGTTAGTCGATGAGACACATGCCGCAAGCGCTGGAAACGGCGAAGACTTGAACGCGATCGTGGGAAAGTCGATGGGGTTCGTGTGCATCGCGAGATGGTTGAAACGAGGCTTGAGCATATCGAGGTGCGTGTCGCCCAGCGCCACAACTAGCGCATCGGCCTCTCGCCCGGGGTTGAGGAGGCGTCCTTCGAGGGAAAATCCCACCATGTGGTCCTTTGGAATGGCGAGCCCAATGTCGGCCATCATATCGAGTGAAGCAGCGACAACGGTGGCGTGGGTCGGTCCCTTTGTGAAGTTGCCCCGGCTGACATTGGGGATATCAGGCAGCGGCGCCGTAGTAGCGTTCGGCACCTGCTGAGCAGCAGCCAGAGCCTTTGCCGCACGAATGTTGATGGCTTGCTGCGAGTACGAGAACGAGTCGGGGCTGCCGAGAACGATGGCTGCCAACACAGTCATGACGAGCATGCCTCCCATCAGCGCTGGCACGACCCACTTGCCTTTGTGGCGGCGCAGGCTGTTCTCGACGTGGTACACTGAGCTCAGACTCAAAACGAACGCGAGACCAAGCATGGCGAGTGGAGTCATGTAGTTGGGTCGGAGGTCTGGGTCGGGGAAACGCAGCTTGGCAAAGACGAGCAGAGGCCAGTGCCACAAGTATAAGGCGTAGCTGAGCTTCCCAATAAAGATCATCGTTCGTTGGCTCAACATGTTTCGATTGAACCAGGCGGTAGGGCCGGCAAAGATGAGCATCGCCGCACCCAATGTGGGCAGGAGCGCCCAGTACCCCGGGAACGCAGACTGTTCGTCAAGCAAAGCAAAGCCGGCAAGAATGCAGCCCAGCCCTACCCATGACAATGCCGTCGCTCGGACAGTGGAGCTCCGTCGACCGGCTTTGCCTTCTGTGACGTTCGTGTCACCACGAGGCAGCGCCACGTATTGCGGGGCGGTGGCCACGCGGACGTGGTGCAGGTATGCCAAGAGGCCACCAACCCCCATCTGCCAGAATCGACTCAACGGAAAGTAGAACGAGTACTTGTTCGTGCCATGGAATCCGAGGAACAAGACGTTGCATGCAAAACTCATCAAGAGGACGACTAGTTGCATCGTCACGGCTGAGCGAACCGACAGACGCATCAAAATGGCCACGAAGCACGGCCAGAAGATGTAGAACTGCTCTTCAACGCCCAGCGACCACAAGTGTAGCAGCGGGTTCTCTTTGATGTCGTCGTCAAAGTACCCCCGATCAAGCAGCATGACTTGGAGATTCGCGCTGAACATTGTGCCGGCCAACATCGTCGACGCGAGAGCCTTGAGCTTGGCCGAGAGCAGGTAGAGACGTCCGAGCCAAAAAGTGAGAGTCAGCATGAGGAGGAGCGTGGGGTAGATGCGGCGAATGCGACGGCTGTAGAAGTTCGCGTACGTGAACGAGCCTTTTGTCGACTCTTTGAACAGGATGCTCGAGATGAGGTAGCCCGAAATGACAAAAAATATGTCGACCCCGATGAATCCACTCGGAAACCGCTCCGGGTACGCGTGGAAGAAGATGACTGGTACGACGGCCAGAGTGCGAAGGCCATCAATGTCGGCGCGGTACGTGATCGGATGTAGTGTTGGCTCCGTCGAGGCAGGTTTCGATGGTGCTGCATTGCCAGGCATGTCGGGGCAAGGCGAACCGTCTTCGTGGGACGTCGGTGGCAGGACGATATTCGGCGGCATATCTCCAGCGCCAAAAGCGTAATGCCACCCTTGCCCCAAGATCGGTTGCTGCTCGACTTAGACCTGAATCCATCTGGTGTATGCAGGTGGGTCGCACCCTGTACGCCACCCAAAACCCGAAACAACTTCAATGTGCTGTGGCAACTTACCGTGTAAAAAATTGTTTTTGTCGAATTCGCCTCGCGACCGCCCCAAAAAGTAAACCAGAAAATCCATATGTGTATTCTCGGTTTTACTTGTTAAGGCGGTCGCGTGGCCATGATATACATCATTCGATGAGGTATTTTGTATTATTGTGCAATACACCAAATATCACAATATTCATCCAACTTCAACACGGGTGATAGGTACGAATTTCCGCGAGCCATCGAATTGTTGACGAAAAGACTGCAACAGGCCAGGTGTACAAGCACTTAGCCGTAACCCGTCACAGCGGAGCCGAAAGAGGACAATTATCCATGATGCCAGTAGTATTCAACTGCGCCTCGGGAAACTTATCTCCGTACCTCCTCCGATCACGCCAATGGTTCAACCAGAGGTACCTACTTTACCTCATTTGCCATGTGTGAATAAATGTGACGAGGCATGTGACCCCACTGACGAGAAACCTCCATAGATATATACAATGGCAAAATGCAGAATTCTCTAAACAGAAAGGTTATTATTTTGCACAGTATTTCTGAAGTACGCACTCCTTTGGATGTTAAACCAAGGCAAATATCTTGATACAGATAATTACTTTTAAGAGTAAATCAAGCTTTAAAGATGAACTGGGCTCATACGTCTTTCACACACATCAAACGATAGAAATTTCTTAGCTCACTCTTCAATTTGCCTCGTCAAGATCATCCGGATAATATCCGGATGATCTTGATTGGACGACAGCAACCTCACTGCCTCAAGTTCATGGGCTCTGCCGTCGTCGTGTCCTATGGGGTGCAGTTTCAAAAGGGCCGC